CCGCTGCCTCCTCCTCCGCCGCCGCCGCCGCCTCGTCCTCGGCGTCTTGCTCGCGCAGGCTCGGCCGGGCGCTCAACTGGCTCTTCTACCTCGTCCTGGTGGCCGCGGCCGCCTTCTCGGGCTGGTGTGTCCACCACGTCCTGGAGGAGGTGCAGGAGGTCCGGCGCGGCCACCAGGACTTCTGCCGGCAGCGGGAGGAGCTCGGGCAGGGCTTGCAGGGCGTCGAGCAGAAGGTGGGTACCCCCGGCCCCCGCCCCCGCAGCCGGACCCCCCTCTCCCTGTCCAGACCCGGGGCCGGAGCCGGCCCCTCACCCGGCCCCCGGGCTCCCGGGCGGCCCCCTGACCCCCTTTGTTAATGGCTGCGGAGGAATTGGCCCCGAGGGATGGACCGCCGCGAGGGTGGGCCCAGGCCTGTCACTGGACATGAGCGGTGACCTGTAAGGAAGCGGGCAGGCTCGGGGGAGCCCATTCTTTCTGGATCAGGAGCCGCTGAATGGGCAGAGCTGTCTGGAGAGGAGGTTGGAAGGGAAGCCAGCGCATCCCTGGAAGCCTCTGGCAAGGCCGCAAGCACCTCAGCTCTCCCAGTGGGGGACACCTGAGCCAGTTTCTCATAGGTCCGGAGCCTGGGGAAGGAAGACCTAGGAGTCTGATTCACTTATACGAAGTTCAAATGAAAGACTGCGTATCTGTGGGCCCCGTTGTCCTTTATGGGACCCATGTGCCCAGGTGGGCCTTTGAAGCGGCACACTCCAGCTGGAGAGGAAAGGCAAGGCCAAGCTAGTAGGTCATTATTATTGGGGTTATTATTGGGGAATAATACCGCCCAGGTGGTGTTTAGGAGGCTTACTCACTTGTAATCTAATCCTCGGAGCAACCCTGGGAGGGAGGTGGGACTGGCAGTTTTGACTCCCATTTTTCAGACCAGAAAACTGAGGGTTAGAGCGATTAAGGGAATCGATCAAGACCCCAGCTAGCAATTGGCAGGCTGCACGAGGATGTCCAGTCCAGTGCCCGCTTCAGGGTCCACAGGGGCCTCTTTCAGGTGTGTGGATGGACCCAAGTTTTAACACAGAGTTGCTTAGCCTTCCACCCTTCTGTGTGTTTTCCCACACCAAGTGCAAGAACCTCAAATCTCATTCCTCCTCCTCCTCCGACCTCCACCAATGTCATTGCTCAATGGAAGTTGGTTGCCTGATTGAAATAAATAAATCCCGCCACCACTTAGGAGGCTGACACTGCTGCCTCCTTTTCCCAGCATGCTGCCTGGCCTGCCGAGCTCCTCTCCACTTTTGTGGAGTATGCAGGACTGGGAATTTCCCCCTCAAGACGGGCAGAGCAACTGGAATGAGTCAGCCTGCTTCGTGCTGCAGGCCAGGGGAGGTGACTTTTTTTGAATTAAGTAGGCAGTGCTGCTTTGCCTATCCGGAATGTGAAATCATACCTAAAAAATAGAACTGCTGTTGGAGTATAATCACCAGGCTCCCATTTTCGTCCTTATCATCCACCCACTTACTAACCAATCATAATATTTATTGAAGTCTGATAGTCATATGGCTTCACGTAGGCCCCGCGGAGGATATGAAGCGGAAAAGACACAAATCATTTGTAAAGCTGCACATAAGTAGGTTTGTATCAGGAGAAATGGGAACTGTCCAGAAGAGAGAGGGTGTGGAGTTTGCCTCGGCCTGTATCCTGGTGGTCAGGGTAGGGTCAGTGGAGGTCTAGTAACTGTTGAGAAAAGGCATGAAGAACACACAGGCAGGGGACAATCTTGAGCATGTTTGAGGGACAGCAGGTGGCTACCCTGCTTATAATAGAGCAATGGGAAGCTGTGAGAGGGGTGATTGAAATTGAGGCCCAGATGGCGGAGGTCATGAATCTAGGTTGAAGAAATTGGGCTTTCTTCTCTTCACTTCCTCCCTGTCCCTCTTATTCCCTCTTTTCTGGTTCCTGCGCCTTCTCGTCACTGCTGTGTAGATTCCTTTCCTTTCTGGGGTTCAGTTTTCCCATCTACACAGCGAGAGGAGGGTCCCATCTAGATTTTTAAGAATCCACCCATCTGTAAAGTATTGAAATAGTGATCACTATTTAGTGACTTGTCTTTCTTTATATACTAACTAGAGGCCCAGTGCACGAATTCGTGCGCTGGTGGGGTCGCTCTGCCTGGCTGGCGATTGGGCTGATCAGGGCCAGTCAGCCATAGGAGGGACCACAGGAGGTTGGCTGTGGGAGTGCACTGACCACCAGGGGGCAGCTCCGGCATTGAGCGTCTGCCCCCTGGTGGTCAGTGCATCGTCATAGTAACCGGTCATAATGGTCGCTTAGGCTTTTATATATATAGATTTAGGAGCATAATCAAGCTATTATTTAATGCATCATATTTATTTTGCACTCATCTCTTTAACAACAACCCCCAAGGGATAAGTACAGTTGACCCTGAACAACATGGGTTTGAACTGCACAGGTCCACTTATATGTGGATTTTTCAGTATGTACATACAGTACTGTATGATTTTCTTTTTAAAAAAAATATATTTTATTGATTTTTTTACAGAGAGGAAGGGAGAGGGAGAGATAGAAACATCAGTGATGAGAGAGAATCATTGATCAGCTGCCTCCTGTACACCCCACACTGGGGATCAAGCCCTCAACCCAGGCATGTGCCCTGACCAGGGATAGAACTATGAACACTCTTAACCACTCATCTGTTCACTTTGTTATCTTTCCTATGCCTGGCCTGGTACACAGTAGTGCTCAATTTATGCTTACTCCATTTACATGTAACTCAGAACAGGCCCAGAACAGTATTAGGATTTGCCACAGTGTGTGGTCCCTTCTGTGTGCAACTCTGGATAGACAGTAAGTAAGTTATTTTGGATTGAGTAGTGGGTCCTCTGACAACCTAAGTTTGAAACCTTTTTATAACTCGATATGAGGCTTGGTTGGGGCTGAGGTTTGGATCTTGGCAGGGACATTACGTACAGTGTTATTCATAATTGGTATTCATTATTATTATTCATATTATACCTACAGTGTTTTTCATAATTAGTATTCACATATTAACACTGGGCATTCTCTTAAGTGCTTCCCAGCCACCCTAAGGCAAGTGCCATTTATTAGTTCACAGAGGGGCCAGCTGAGCCTAGAGCGGTTGTTATGGTTCAGGGTCACACACAGACCCTGAGTGGTGGAGCTGAAGGTCCTGGGGTGCCCTGGCAGATCCAGGGCGGCCTAAAGTGGTGGAAGGAGTCAGCTTAGGCCTAGTGGGTGGGGGTGGTTTGATGAGACCACTTATTTGTAGAAGAGTGAGTTCTCTGGTCGTATTTCTTTGTTTTCCCATTTTGACCAGGAGTCAGGGCTTCAGGGTTAGGCAGCATCTCCAGGCACTCGTGCACTTGAACACACCTCTGCCCAAGCATATTGCATAGAGTTTAAGAGCTCGGGCTCTGAAGTCCCACCTTCAGGGATTTTGATCCTCAGCTCTACCCCTTTTCCGGCTCCTCAGTTGTAAAATGATCAATGGGAGCCACAAACTCATCTATCTATCTATATAAAAGCCTAAGCAACCATTGCAACTGAACAGACAACCGAACAGGCTGCGTGGGGCAACCCAGCCGGCAGGTCGCCAGCAGGGGGGTTAGTGAGGGGCGACCAAACGACCGAGCAGCAGGCTGCATGGGGAGACCAGGCCGACAGGCAGGTGAGTGGTTAGGAGCCAGCTGTCCAGGACTATGAGAGGAATGTCCGACTGCTGGTTTAATCCTGATCCCTGGGGGTCCTGGATTGGAGAGGGTGCAGGCTGGGCTGAGGGGACCCTCCCCCGAGCACGAATTTCGTGCACTGGGCCTCTAGTGAGATTATAATGAGGATGGAATGAGATGATGTCTGTGAAGTACTTTGCATAATTATTGTATACAGTAAGCACTCTGCTGAAGAACAGCCACCACTATCCCCCTTCCCTAGGCTGTGAGCTCCTTGAGGGCAGGGATTCTGTTTTAGCTGTTATTTTATCTTTGACGTCTTGTCCAGTACCCACCACTTAGTGGCACTCCACCTATACTGGGGGAACAGATGCATCCATCACATATCTATATATATAAAAGGCTAATATGCTAAGTGTCTGTCTGGGTAATGACGTCACATAGCAACGCCTGGCTTCCTCTCCCTAGCGATGACTTAGCCTCTTTGCAATTTCTTCAGCCCAGGAACACGACTTACTTTATAGCCAGGTGGAAACATTTCACGCTTTAACCAATTGTCTGTGAAGTCCTTTCCCATACCTCATCTCATTTGATCCTCACAGAAGTCCTGGAGTAGGTAGATAGGAGACTCAGTGGAATCCTATTTTCTTTTCATTAGCCGGAAAACGGAGATTTAGGAAGTTTAGAAACTTGACCCAACTGAAAAGAAATAAATGGTGGACCTTGAAAATGACTTCAGGTTTTCTCACTGTGCAGAATATAGTCAAACACTGCTGCAGTTAACTATTTTACCCTTTGTTCTCCCTGCGTGATCTACAATAATAATCTGCTTCATGTTGATATTTACTGCTTTGTTGCTGACACTTACCTGAAAGAGAAGTTGGGGTGCTTCACTGGGCTGGAAAAAGTTTAGCTACATCAGAAAGCAGGTCTAATTAAGCAAGTTTATTCTATGTCTATAAAAGGCTAAGTTGCATGCACAATACATATAAAGCTCTTGCTGGTGCCAATCACACGCATGTTGTTTCCATCTGTCATTGTCGATTGTGAATTTGGTTGACACTTCTATTATAGAGAAAGGGCAAATAGCAATATTAAAATATTTCTTCAAATTAATTTCCTTCTAATATGCATGAATTCATGCACCCGGCCACTAGTTAATTATAACAAGGGTTTTGCATGTAAAAATGAACAACCAACAGCATCAGTAGGGCAGCACTTTCTATGTTCTTTCCATAATGTTAAGGGTTGGTTTGTTTGGTTTCATTCATAATTTCTGATCTAGTCCCCTTCCCAGACATTTGTAAAGAGTCAGCCCAGGGTGACATTCAGGGATCAGAGAGGAAATGGACCAGCTTGGTCCTCATTAGATTTTGCTCTGTTAATTCATTTATTCTTTGATTCATTCAGAAAACATTGGCGAACACCTGCATGTTGCAGGTACTGCTCTCACACCTCTATTCTGAGTGCTCTGCTTAGAACAGGCAAGTACTGTGATTACATAACCTAGTTTTAGAGGTGAGTTCTCTCCACTGTCCTTAATGATTCAGGTTATATTTGGTTGGGCAGGAAAATTGTCTAATATCCTAGAGTCCCTGAGAACCTTAGTCTAATTTATCTTAAAATCACAGACTGGTGGAAGCCGGAAGGGACTTGAGAAACCTGTTTGCTAATAGACAAGGAGCTTGGGACATGGGAAGCGAGTGTGACTTATTTGTGCCCACAGAGCTTGTGACTGGTGGGGCTGGAACTAGAGCCCAGGTGTCCTGTTCCCATTCCTGTAGTGTTTTCCCTTTGGCATTGGGCTAAGGATGGTCTAGGAATCTCCAGGCTTCTGGGCTACTTCAGAAGAAAGATTAAACAATAATGAAGTTGGTCATTCACTATGTGTTAGGAACAATTGAAGCACTTTACATAGATTAACTCACAAGACAATCCTGAATCAGGTGCTATTTTTGTTTTTGTTTTTTTCTTTTTTTAAAAAAAATATATTTTTTTATTGATTTCAGAGAGGAAGGGAGAAGGAGAGAGAGAGATAGAAACATCAATGATGAGAGAGAATCATTGATTGGCTGCTTCCTGCACAACCCCTACTAGGGATTGAGCCCGCAACCCAGGCATGTGCCCTGACCGGGAATCGAACCTGGGACCCTTGAGTCCGAAGGCTGATGCTCTATCCACTGAGCCAAGCCAGCCAGGGCCGGGTGCTATTTTTGTTTCCATGGTGTCCTGGTGTCCTGACCCCAGGTTAATTGCCCACAAGCACACAGGAAGTGTCCAGGCTGGGCTATGACCATAGGCAGTCTGGTTCTAGAGCCCACACTATTTCATTTTTTAACCTTTTATCACGGGAATGTTGAAGCATAAACAAAAGAAGAGATCAATATAATGAATCCCAATTTCAGTAATTATCATTTTTTTCTATTGTTTCATTCCATCGCCACCCCTTCTCCACTCAGCTTGATGCTAAAGCACTCTACTCCACTGCCCTGTTGGGTGCCCACCTGGTTTCTGTTGGTCTCCTGGTCTCTGTTGGTTCCCAGTTTAGGAAAATGGCCCAGGTCTTCTGAATGGTTACAGCCTGGGCAGAGAAGCTGGCCTGCCCTTACCCAGAAGATTCACTGCACAAGTGAGTGCAGAGCTTCAGAAAATGTTGCCAGTTCGTTCTAGGCCAGTGGTTGGCAAACCGCGGCTCGAGAGCCACATGCGGCTCTTTGGCCCCTTGAGTGTGGCTCTTCCACAAAATACCACGTGCGGGCGCGTGTAGTGCGGATGAAACTTCGGGTAGCGTGCTTGGAACTAAATTATACGAAGAATACCTACTTTAAAGACCCAAATTATTTTTAGGAGGCGCTAAAAACATTTTTGAGTTTCTATTCCTCTTTTTCTCCTTGTTACCTTCGAAAAAACAACCGATTATACTGGGGGCAGACCTCGTCTCCACTGTAGGGGGGAAAAAAAGAGTTCATGATGAGATTTCCCCGATTCTCTAAAAAAATGTCTCTTTTACAGTTGGTTTGTTTGAATCAGGATCCATTTATGTCCGCACATTACATTTGATTGATAAATCTTAAATTTCTTTTAACCTGTAATAGTCTCCTGTCTTTCTCCCTTTTAAAATGCCATTTAAAATGCCACTTACTTGTTGAAGATCCTGGTTATTTGTCCTGTGGAATTTTCCACTTTGTGGATTTGGCTGATTGTTTCCTCCTGGCATATTTCTCACTAGTATGTTTTTTTTGTGAATTGGTGACTAACCAATTCACAAAAAAATTAGAGACTTGATAGATTCAGGTTCTTTTTCCTGTTGTGTGTGTGTAAGAAAGCGTTCTATGTGGCCCCATGTACCACATTCGGATAAAGCCCGGGCCATTAATCATCATCTGTCAGCCTCTCAGTACATTCAACCAGCTCCCTGGGGTAGTTCCGAGATCAGACCTTGTTTAGGGTGGAATTTATTTAAAATGAATGTGTAATGGCAAACGGGATCATAATGTGTTCACTAAGCCAGAGAATGCTAAAGGATCATCGGGTCCACCGCTCCCATTTGCAGGTAAAGACGATGATTTGTGCAGGGCCACACAGCTAAAAGTGGTGACAGAGGCCCGGGCCCTTGTCTCTTGCCTCCCAGCCCAGTGTCTCCCACGTGCCTCAGCTATTTTTCTCTGAAAATTTGTGAGACTCTCTTGCAAAAGCTAGAAACTCAAAGAGCAGTGGGTGGGGAGAGATTCCTTCAGGTCTAGCTGCATCCGGGAATTCAGATTGTATCTTCAGACCTTGATCTTGTTATCTTGTTTCTCACTTCTGCTTCCCTCTGTGCTGGCTTGATTCTTAGACCCGCATTCTTCCTGTGCTAGTCTGCGTAGCTCAGCTCCAGGCTCCCTCATTCTGTAGCTAGCGAGTAGGTTTAAAGGAAGTTCTGGAATTGACTTGTTGGCCTGCTTTAGGCCATATGCCCATCCTTGGGCTAATCACTGTGGCTCCAATTTGGGGGGAAGGTGGATGGAGAGTGCTGATTGGCTAAGCCTGTGTTATAAACCATCCCTGGAGCACTTGGGGGAGGGGGTGGCCCTTAGGTTGGTCCCCCCAACCACATGGGTTGTATGTGGAAGGATGGTTCTCCAAAGGAAAATTGTGGTGCCATTCTAGAGGAGGAGGGGCTTGGAAGCTGGGAAGACAAAAAGAAATGAGCTATGTTGCATAAAACTCATCATCTCTTCTTAGCAGTTAACATCTGGCCCTTGGTTACAGGTGCAGTCTCTGCAAGCCACGTTGGGGACTTTTGAGTCCTTCTTGAGAACCTTCCAACATAAGCAAGAGCTCGCGGAGAAAGTCATGAAGCAAGGGGAGAGCGAGATCAACCGGATCAGCGAAGTTCTGCAAAAGCTCCAGAACGAGATTCTCAAGGACCTCTCGGACGGCATCCACGTGGTGAAGGATGCCCGGGAGCGGGACTTCACGTCCCTCGAGAACACGGTGGAGGAGAGGCTGACGGAGCTCACCAAGTCCATCAATGACAACATCGCCATCTTCACTGAGGTCCAGAAGAGGAGCCAGAAGGAGATCAACGACGTGAAGGCGAAGGTTGCCTCTCTGGAACACTCCGAGGGGGACAGGCAGGAGTTGAAAGCCTTGAAGGAAGTCGTGAAGGGCATACAAACCTCTCTGAAGTCCAAAGACAAGGACCTGGAGGCCCTGAGAAGCACCCTTCAGACCATGGAGTCGGATGTCTACACCGAGGTCAAGGAGCTGGTGAGCCTCAAACAGGAGCAGCAGAAGTTCAAGGAGGCGGCCGATTCGGAGCACCTGACCCTGCAGGCCCTCTCCGAGAAGGTCCTCCGGTCGGAGGAGGCCACCGCCCGCCTCCCCGAGGAGGTCAGGAGACTCTCGGAGGAGCTGCGCCAGCTGAAGGCCCAGTCCCTCGAGCCGGAAGAAGATGGGGTCTTCAAAAACTCCGACACCCTAGACGCACTCCAGAGAAAGAGCCAGGGCTTGGACACCCGGCTGCAGACTGTGGAAGACGGGGTCCAGGCCATGCAGATGGCCTCCGCGCGGCAGAGCGAGAGCCTGGAGTCCCTGCTGGCCAAGAGCGAGGAGTGCGAGCAGCGCCTGGCCGCCCTGCAGCAGCGCCTGGACAGCCTGGACTCCTCGGAGGAGGCGGACAAGGGAAGCCTGGCCAGCACCGTGAGGAGCCTGGGGGAGGCCCAGCTCTCGCTCTACAGCGACGTCGAGGAGCTGAAGAGAAGCGTGGGCGAGCTCCCCAGCGCCGTGGACACGCTCCAGAAGGTGCAGGAGCAAGTGCACACGCTGCTGGGTCAGGACCAAGCCCAGGCGGCCCGCTTGCCGCCGGAGGACTTCCTGGACAGGCTGTCTTCTCTGGACCACCTCAAATCCTCCGTCAGCCAGGTGGAGGCGGACTTGAAGATGCTCAGGACTGCCGTGGACAGCTTGGTGGCCTACTCGGTGAAAATCGAAACCAACGAGAACAACCTGGAATCGGCCAAGGGTCTGCTCGATGACCTGAGGAATGACCTGGACAGGTTGTTTGTGCAAGTCGAAAAAATTCATGAAAAGGTCTAAATGAATTGTGTGTGCAGGGCGCGGTGGAAAGTCCAATTTCTCATGACCAAAAAAAAAAAAAAAAAAAAAGGTGTTATTTTCTCCCGTGCGCCCCTCCCCCTCACGTTCTTGTCCCCTCTTAAAGAGCAGGGGACACCACTTGGGACACCACAGCATTTTGTATTTCTGTGCCCGGTTAATTTATTTACAGTCGTTACCACACAACACTGGTTTCTCAAGTGTTCAGCTTCTGCTTGGTTTCCTGAAGGCCCAGTAGCCAGCAGGCGGAGGTGCCGGGCAGCGGGGATGTCTCTGGTGTCAGAGCCTGGGGATGGTTTCCCTGAGGATTAACAGAAGCAGATTAACGCTAACCTCCAAAAAGCCTGCCTGGCGGGCAGATTTGAAGTGAAGAAAGTGGGGGAAGGGGCATTTTTCTCTCTGATTGTCTTTAAGGAAAATTCATTTTACTTTTTTTATACTTCTGGAAGAAGTAAGTGTTCAGGAGATGTCACTCACTCTTTGTCTTCCACTTTAAACTGGTTAGAATTCATAAATGTCGGCGCCGCATCGGGAGGGGGAGAGCCCCTCGTTTTTCAACCAAGAAGCAGCAGCTGCAAACTGGCCTCCCGTGGTGAGGGTGTCTTTTTCCTCTCCCTTTCCTCTCCCGAGTCCTCTCCTGATCTCAAAGGTAACTATGCAAAGAATCCAGACGGTTCTGAATGTGAAGGCACAACACCCCACAGAGTCCCCTGTGGCCGACCTGTGCCACCTCTTGGTAGGGTCCCCCAAAATGCATAGATTTATAATCCCTGCAAGGGGAGTCCTTGGATTCTTGCAGGAAGTGTGTGATGGGGGCTGTCCACAAAGGCCTGGGCTGTCTCCCTGGAGAGTGGAGGCTGCATCTTTTTATTTTACCCCCGTGTCCGGGAAGAGGTCCGCTGGCCCCATCCGTCAGCGAGGTGCGTGTGCATTTGCGGTAGTTGTTGGCTGTTTCCCTCCCGTTCGGGCTGAACTGTTCTTTAATGGCTGTCTTGCCTTTCGAAAAAGAGGAAAAAAGAAAGAAAAGAAAACGATAAAAAAAGGTTTGTTTAGTTTACTGTGAAATGAACTGTATGGCTTATTTACAGTATTTTTAATTCTTAATAAACACTTGAGCTTTGTTACTTTTCCTGAGTGGTTGCTTTCAGAGAATTTAGTAATTATGTCTTTTACGAATGTGCAGCATTGAGGATTAGAAAGGTAAGTTTTCAGTTTTCAGACTTTTTTTTTTTAAATTCTGAAATCAGGATGGCCTCACTCTTAGGCCTGGAACTTTCGATTGACATGGCTCTTGTTAGCTATTTGAATCTTCTGGAAGCTTTAAAAATGCCCGGGCCTGCCCTCAGGCATTTGGGATGAAGAGGTTATAAAGAGGGCTGGCAGTAGGATTTTAAAGGCACCCCAGCTGGTTCTAATGTGCAGCCAGATTTGAGAACCAGGGTCTCAGACCATCTGGCAACCTCCGGCCCCAGTACAAACCTGGGCATGTTGCCTTTACTTCCCAGGTTGCCTCTACCTCCTACCTAATACAGGGGTGTATTGAGTACCTGGGTGCCAGCATTGTGCTAAGCACTCCATAGGCCTCTGTTCCTGCTAATATTTCCTGGAGGTAGGCATTATCATTTTCCACTTAACAGAGGGCAGCAGGCTGAGAAGCAACATACAAGATCATTAGCTAGGACAGTGATGGCGAACCTATGACATGCGTGTCAGAGGTGACATGCGAACTCTTTTTTTGGTTGATTTTTCTTTGTTAAATGGCATTTAAATATATAAAATAAATATCAAAAATATAAATCTTTGTTTTACTATGGTTGCAAATATCAAAAAATTTCTGTATATGACACGGCACCAGAGTTAAGTTAGGGTTTTTCAAAATGCTGACACGCCGAGCTCAAAAGGTTCGCCATCACTGAGCTAGGAAATGGCAGGGCCAAGGTTTGAACCCAGTCTCTCTAAACCAGCGGTTCTCAACCTGTAGGTCGCCAACCTGTGGGTCATGATCCCTTTGGAGGTCGAACAACCCTTTCACAGGAGTCGCCTAAGACCATCAGAAAACACATATATAATTACATATTGTTTTTGTGATTAATCACTATGCTTTAATTATGTTCAATTTGTAACAATGAAAATACATCCTGCATATCAGATATTTACATTACAATTCATAACAGTAGCAAAATTACAGTTATGAAGTAGCAATGAAAATAATTGTATGGTTGGGGGTCACCACAACATGAGGAACTGTATTAAAGGGTCGTGGCATTAGGAAGGTTGAGAACCACTGCTCTAAACCATGACAACATCCTTCACCTAACAACACCAGCGCAGGGCCGCACTGACCTGTGTGCACCTGCTGTGCCGGCTCAGAGCCTGAGGCAGCAGAAGCTCCTCTCCCTCCCCACCCCCCATTCCCTACCCCAGGGAGCGGAGGTGGGCCAGGACCTGAGTGCATATGTAGCTTCATGCCCTCATCTCTGAGCTTCATGTCAATCATTCTAGGTGCCAGAGGCATCATCTCTAAGGCCCCACACCTCTGAGCATGATGTTCCCAAAGCAGTTTGCAAATCAGGACCGGCTCTTTATAGGTGTTAGAAGTCATTTGCATTTTTAAAGTCTAAGAGTTGATCAGTATATGCTATAATAACTAGTTTTGCCCTCATTTGGGGAGGGGATGAGCAACATAAATTTCTATACTCCCGAGAAAGTTAAATTGAGTTCTTTCTCAGGTTGGTTGGTTGCATCAGGCACATTCTTGCTCTTCCATCATGTCTATAATCCTAGACTTTAGTAGTTTAATAGATCCCTATTTAATATAGTAGAAAATATCTACAAGGGTCAGAGAAATGAACAAGTGATGAAAATAAAAGGAATGCATTACGAATTTACATATTCCTGGTGGTAGGGCAATTGGAGTTCCATCTTATCCCAAATAGTAATCACAATTCAGTCTCGTTCATGTGTGCTCATTCAACAAACATTTATTGAGCCCATAGCCAGATGTTTGCTAAGCATCGACTGAATGCAAGATGTGTGTGACAGGATCCTTGTCCTCCAAGGGCCTACATTCCAGTGGGGATGACAGTAGTTGTCATATGGAATTTCAGGTGCCATAGCCAGGTACAGTAGGGCACAGAGGAGGGAGTGGCCAGTTCTGCCAGGGTTGGGCTGGGGGTGGTTAGAACAGGTTGCAAAGGGCTGAGGGATGTCCCTTGGAATGCCTCCATGAGAGGGGAACCTTCAGAAAACACGGTTACCTTGCTGTGTGTGTGTGAATCCTCACCCGAGGATATTTTTCCATTGATTTTTAGAGAGAGGGAAAGAGAGAAATATTGATGTGAGAGAAACACATCGATCAATTGGTTGCCACCTACATGAGCCCTGACCAGGGCCCGGGCAGGGGAGGAGCCTGCAACTGAGGTGTGTGCCCTTGACCGGAATCAAACCCGGGACCCTTCAGTCCGCAGGCCTACGCTCTATTCACTGAGCCAAACTGGCTAGGGCTGCCCTGCTTTTTGAACAGGGAATGTGCACAAACTATTGAAGATGTGGATTAAATTGCAGGTGATCCAGCACCAGGATCAGAGGCTGCAGTGAAATTTCCCAGGTGAGATTACCAGCACACTTTTGGGAAGACAGCTCTACCACTGCCCCTGTTAGAATGGAGATGATGGTGAGGAGGAGGAGGATGGGGGTGATGATACCTCGTAGGGTGGTTGTGAGGTTTGAATGAGGTCATGGGTGGAGAGGGTTTAGCTTAGCACAACATCTGGCATGGAGTTAAGAGCTCCAGGGCTTGTCCATGTGCAGCCATACCAGAGGTAAACGTATTTCAATCTTAAGTGCTGCTTGGTAAAGAGCTGTATCCCTGAGCCACCTGAGTGCCTCCCTTGGGCCCTCTAGACCTCCTCACAGCCCAGCAACTGACAGGTTAACACCCAGGCACAGCAGGGGCCTCCAGGACCCTGCGCAGCCCATGGCCAGCATTGATTCTAATGCATGGGCACCCATGCTTTACCAGTGGTTACATATTTTGCAATCACCCTATGTCTTCTTCAAAGCGCGACTCTGAGATACGGATCTGTTTTTCTAGTAACATCTGGCCACACACCACCAGACCTCTCACAGGGTTCCAAACTAATGGCAGCATTTCCCCCCAGAGTAAGTGAAACCACTGCCCCCTTCACTCCTTGAGCCGGAAGCTCAGGAGTCACCCCCTCTCTCTGCCTCTCCGTTTTCCTGTCTCTCCACCCCACCCCCCCGCCCCCCGGGGGAAGCCCTGACACAGCCACCCCATCCCGCATCTCCCAGCCTTCTCTCCATCGACATGGTCCAGCTGGGAGGAGACCAGCAATAAATATGATCGAAACGTACAAATTACAGTATCTGTCTTGAGGTACAGGTACATTCCCTGTCTCTACCTTGTCTCCCATTCAGAGGAGACCTGCCTGTGTCCCCCATTAAATCCTTCAGTGTCCCCCTTTGGCTTCAGGGGAAAATCCCAGCTCCACGGTGGGCTGAGAAGGAACTTGCTGACTGCTCTCTCCCTGCCACCCAGCCTCATCTGCATGGACTCTGCTCGTAACTGCACTGACTAAATGAACCATCCCTCATGCACCTCTTGCTCCACCACCAGGTAGGTGCCTTTGCACATTCTTCTTCCTCCCACTCCAAGTGCTCAGTGTTCCCGTCCTGGAACCACAGGCTGGATGGGGCACTGTTCCTGTGGTTGCTGGCTTCCCACTGGGTGGTGCACTCCATGGATGACAGGGCTGTGTCTTTGTCTCTCTATCCACAGAGATCACACTGTGCTTGACCTACATCGGTAATGAGAGAAATAACTCACATTTATTGAGCACTTACTATGTGCCAACCACTGTTCCAAGGGTTTTGCAAGGATTAACTCATTCAAAATGGCACAACAGTGAAGATACTATTATTTTTTTTAATGTATTTTATTGATTTTTCACAGAGAGGAAGGGAGAGGGACAGAGAGCCAGAAACATCGATGAGAGAGAAACATCGACCAGCTGCCTCCTGCACATCTCCTACTGGGGGTGTGCCCGCAACCAACGTACATGCCCTTGACTGGAATCGAACCCGGGACCCTTCAGTCCGCAGGCCGACGCTCTATCCACTGAGCCAAACCGGTTTCAGCGTGAAGATACTATTATTATTTCCATTTTTACAGATGGAGAAAACGAGGCACAGAGAGGTTAAATAGCTCATTCCAAGTACTTACCAGGCACAGATAAGGATGTGGTAGAGCCACATTTAGAACCCAGTTTTCTCAGTTAAAAACCTGTGGTCGGAATGACTCTAGAACTGGCTTCTTTTCTTCACTTAAAATCACCTCGCACTTTGGGGATTACTTTTTATTGAAGTACTAGAGGCCTGATGCACGAAATTCGTGCAAGGGGCTTGGCCCTCGCAGCTGCCAGCGGCTATTCTTGACCCTCACAGCCGCGGCAGCATGCCTGGGCCCTCAGACATCCGGAAGGATGTCCGGAAGGTCGTTGGGCTGTCCGGTCTAATTAGCATGTTACGCTTTTATTATTATAGATAACTTCTGTGCTTTAAGGCCCATGCACCTGAAGTACACAGCTGATGAATCTCTACACATGCTTCACCATGGACTAACCATCAGCTCAAGACACAGCTATCCCAGCCCTCTAGGACAGGCTGGGGCAGTGGTCGGCAAGCTGTGGCTCGTGAGCCGCAGTTTGCCAACCACTGCTCTAGGGGCTTTCCATGGCCCACAGCCAGTAGCCCCCATGGTCACCACTCTTCTGACCACTCTCACCATAGACCACTTTTGCCCATTTCTGAATCTCAAATACATGAGATCATACCCTGTGAGACCTGGTGGTCCTTTAAGAAAAACAACAGCTTTCTTGGGATATAATTCATGTACCATAAAATCCACCCTATGAAAATGTATAACCGTTCTTAGTATATTCCCAGGAGGCTGGACACATTTCTATCTTGATCAATCTTGCCCCTGTCACCTAGAACACACATGCAGCGCCCAGGTGTCTGAGTACCTGCAGATGTGTGAACTAGCCGATGCATGCCTGGGTCTCCATCTTGCTGAGAGAAAGGCGAGAGGTGTGGTGAGAGCATTCTTGTCCTGCCTCTGGGGCTGGGCCCACAGTGGGAGGAGGTGAAAAAGTACAGAGGCGGAGAGATGGCTGCCCCTCCCCCTGTGCTTGGTCAGGGGGTTGTGCTGTGCTTGGTCAGGGGGTTGATTCCACAGCAGCTGTTTATCACGAACAGGGCACTGAGCTGCACCCGCTTGGGGAGTAGAGATGAGAGGGGAGTTTTCCGTTCCTTGGAGAGTCCCAGCTGAACAGGACACAGGACACTGTAATCACGGTATAGGGGTGCACACAGCAGGGAGTGATGAGGTCCGGGAACTTGGTTGCCATTGTGTTGCCTTCCCAGTATCTAGTCCTCCCTAATGTGGTAACAACTTGTTTATTTTTCTTTTCAGAACCACCCATTCGCCCGACGGACGTGGCTCAGTGGTTGAGCATCAACCCATGAACCAGGAGGTCACGGTTGGATTCCTGGTCAGGGCACATGCCCGGGTTGCAGGCTTGATCCCCAATAAGAGGGCATGCAGGAGGCAGCCAATGGAGGATTCTGTCACATCATTGGCGTTTCTATCTTTCTCTCCCCCTCTCCCTTCCTCTCTGAAGTCAATAGAAATATATATATGAAAAAAAGAACTAGCCCTTCATCACGCTCAATCCATTTGGCTCTGATGAGACTGACTGGGATGAGCACATGACTCAGGTTTGGCCAATGGGAAACTCCCTTCTCCTGGTCTGACTTGTTTAAGATGAAGACATGTCCCAATCTGGTCCATTGACTGCTGCTGGACTTTCTAGAAAGCGGTGCCCTCTGTCCACTGAGGCTGCCAAGCTGACAAGACATAAGCCCGGAACCTCTAGGGGCCATTACAGAGAATGAAGCCACCAGCATAGAAGAAAGCAGAGCCAAGAGATGGCATGAGACAGGCTCCCAATGACACAGGATGAGCACCTGGATCCAGCTGTGCCTGAAGCTCCAGAGGCCACGCTCTTCCACACACCATCTCACAGCCCTGTCCACCTTACACAAAGTGACGGGACACCATATAAAGAATGGGCATTGCTTATGACTAAAAAAATTGGAAACGCCTAAAGAGTCTGGCAAGCTGACCATTAACTGCATTGCCACTTGTTCATACAATGGACCGCAAAACACAAGTAAAAATGAATAAGTCTGAACCACGCTGGGTATCAGTCCACTGAAATGCTGAGTGAAAAGATACAAGTTGCTGAAGGAAATAGTAAGAAAACTTGCATGTAAAATGGAGAAACCACGCAGAATAATATTATCTATTGTAGTGAATGTATCAATAAACAAGTAGGAGAGAGGATATCCAAATTCAGGTTGTTTGATTTCTCTGGGGGCTATTTGTGCTATTATTCTTAATACTTTTTTTCTCCTCTCAACATTTATTCAAACAGAAAAATTGAAAGACTTGTCCTGTGAGCACTCATATCTCTGTTACTTAGCACAATGGACAGATTGCTGTGTTCACTTACCACATACATATCCATTTCCCCACATCCTGGGTACCTTTTGGTATGTTAGAACTATTTTGTAATTAAAAACTTTTTTAGAAAAGGGGAAGAAATAACATAGGGGAAAACTCACACTTTTATTGTTTAAAATAGCGTAGGTCAGAAAACAAATGGCCTCCATATACTTCATGAAGTGCTATATTTAAACATGACTAATTAGTTTTCATAATAATAATAGCTGAATAGCCACGTGGCGGGCCTGAGAGAGCTGAGGCTGAGAAGGGTCTGCTGTCTAACTCCCTTATTTTACAGCCGGGAGCCTGGGTCTCAGGGAGGGGAAGTCGCTCCTCCAAGCTGGGACACTGGCTGTGAAGGAGACGGAATCTTGTTCCTGCTTCTCTCCCCCACTATTTGTTTTGGCTGCACCCCAGGCCTAAGCCAAGATCCCAAATGCCCACAAGGCAGCAAAGGATCAGGGCAGCTGAGTTCCTGCAGGGAGGGAACTGCATTCTGGGTGGGAAGGGCGCGGCGCCTTGGCCCAACTGAGCATGTTGGTCATGAACACACACAAGCAATGCCTGTTGGGCAATGGGCTGTGAGGAAACCGCGGCCTATCTGTGTTTAAAGACTGGGTAATGTTCTGTTGAAATGCCTGTTACTAATTGGGTGTAGCTACCTGGTGTTAAGATGCCCACTGTCCCATGGAGTCTCTCTTAGAAACTCAGGACCATAGCTTTTCTTTGTCATTCACTGGTATGGTTGGTCCTGGTTTGCTCTCCAGGGTCGCGGGGGTGGGGGGGTGGGGGGGGGGGGTGGGGGTAGAGTGTCCCCAGCTGGAGTTGTAAGGAAAAGGATCTGGGATCAGGGAGCTGGGCCTGGTGCTGGTCTGCTTGCCTGTGTTGCCTTGGATAATTCTTCTTCTCTCTCAGCCTCTCCTCCCATTTGTAAAGTGAGGTGGGTGATAAAATGGTCTCCAAGTTCTCTTCCAGTTGCAACTTTCTTTGACTTTATCATCTATATCAGTGGTTCTCAACCTTCTGGCCCTTTAAATACAGTTCCTCATGTTGTGACCCCAACCATAAAATTATTTTCGTTGCTACTTCATAACTGTAATGGTGCTACTGCTATGAATCGTAATGTAAATATCTGATATGCAGGATGGTCTTAGGCGACCCCTGTGAAAGGGTCGTTCAACCGCCAAAGGGATCTCGACCCACAGGTTGAGAACCGCTGATCTAGATTATAAAAGCCCAGTGGCGGGAACACCGGAACGCCGGAAGGACCAAATGACCGGTCACCAGGAGGTGCATGGAGCACCTCTCGGTCCCTCCCCCAGGCCCGCAAGCCACTCACAGCAGTGGGGTGGGGCTCACGGCTCACGTGGCGTGGCAGGACTCGTGGCTCTTGCTGGTCACGTGGTGAGGTGGGGCTCATGCTCGCGTGGCGTGGAAGGGTTTGCAACTCTCGCAGGACGGTGGCTTGCAGTGGCGAGCTACTTGTGCATGGTGGGTCTGGGTCTCGTATGATTTCTCGCGCTGAGCCTCTAGTCATATATAATTTTTGGGAGTTTCCTGTGGGCAGCAGGAGGCCTGAGGGAAAAATGTTGAGAGGGTGGGCAAATCCCTGGGGGCAGGTGGGCAAATCCCTGAGGGCAGGTGGGCAAATCTCTTGGGTAGACGGGGAGAGGGCAGGGATGACTTCTGTCTTTACCAAGGCTAGATTCCTAGCTTGCATCAGAGGCTGGTAGGCAGTGGCTGCTCAAATATTTTCTTTCTTGTTGGGGTGGGGCCAGTTAATTCATTACACTTGTTATTGGGCATAGTTGCCAGGCTGGGATGACATCTTGTACAACTTTATCTGAAGTCTGTTTATTTCCAGAAGATGCCTGGAATCACCAGTAGCTAATCTAGAGTAGCTCAAACGTTTGAACTTTCAGCTGGGGAGTAGCCCTCAATCAGTAGGACTAGTGGCTTTAGGAACCAGAGATGACGCTTGAAGTGAGAATTTAGTGCCATCTAGTGTCTAAAGTGGGGATTACAGGATTAGTTCCCTTTTTAAAAAAACTATTGTTTTAGAAGAATACACCCAGTTGCAACATTAAAATACACTAAGATAATCACTATTTAAAAGGCCCATGAGTGCATTTTTATGTGACATGAACACTTCATAATATGTATACTCTCCTCCTAATTAATTTCTTCTGAAAACGTATAATGATTCATTAAGGGTTTTGCCAATAGGAATCTTTTTTTTTTAAAATATATATTTTATTGACTTTTTACAGAGAGGAAGGGAGAGAGATAGAGAGTTAGAAACATCAATGAGAGAGAAGCATCGATCAGCTGCCTCCTGCACACCCCCTACTGGGGATGTGCCCGCAACCCAGGTACATGCCCTTGACCGGAATCAAACCTGGGACCCTTCAGTCCGCAGGCCGACGCTCTATCCAGTGAGCCAAACTGGTCAGGGTTTTTTTTTTTTTTTAAAAGGAATCTTTTGTTAGTGGAGGCTTAGGAGTCTCAAGGGTCTGTCTCCTTCCCATGTCCAGCTAGTTCAGAAGGGCAGGCACTGACCCTTGGAGCAGCTAACGTTGCATGCTTAGACATTAACGTAAATAGTAGCAGCCGCCCATAACTGAGTATCTGTGTTTTATGTCATGCGTCAAGTTGAACACATTTTAAAAAAATATATATTTTTATTGATTTCAGAGAGGGAGGGAGAGGGAGAGAGAGATAGAAACATCAATGATGAGAGAGAATCACTGATTAGCTGCCTCCTGCACGCCCCTTCCTGGGGATTGAGCCCGCAATCCAGGCAAGAGCCCTTGACCGGAATCGAACCTGGGACCCTTCAGTCCGCAGGCCAACGCTCTATCCACTGAGCCAAACCAGCTAGGGCTGAACACATTTTTTATCTCACTCAATCTTGATGATTATCCTAGGGAGTAAGAACAGCTGTGCTGTCTCTGATTTGCTGATCAGTTACTGCAGCTAAGAAAGTTCCTATAATTTGTCCTGGGATCACATAGTAAATGGTAGGAGCACGAGTCAGACTCACGTGTGTCTGTCTCTAACGAGTGTTCTCTGCCCACTAAAACAAACAAACAAACAAAAAAACAATCACACTCCCTATTCCATAGCAATAACATTGGCATGCCATCATGTCCAAGGATACAACTGTATGTACATCTATTTTGTATATAATACTTCTATCTACACTAATAAAAGAGAAAAATGGTAATTGGCGTACGACCGCTACCCTTCTGATTGGCTAATCAGCATATCCTTATGCAAATTAACTGTCAGCCAAGATGGCGGCCGGCAGCCAGGCAGTTGGAAGCGAACATGAGGCTTCCTTGCTCCCGTGACTGCAGACTCCAACGTTCCCCGCCTGACTTGCCGGACTCTGAGCTGGCAGTTTGAAACATTCTAACAAATATAGCCGGCTGGGATCTCAGAGCTGAAGTTATACATTGTTTCGATTATAGAACGGCAAACAAACCAGCAGCGGAAGCCTCAGAGCTAGAGCCAGAGCTAAAGCTGACCCAGAAGAAAAAAAAAAAAAGAAAAAAAGGAGTGGTTGGGAGCTTCCCGCCAGCCTGAAAGCAGTCAAAACCGCCAGCCTGAAAGCAGCCCTCAGCCCCTCACCCAGACTGGCCAGGCACCCCAGTGGGGACCCCCACCCTGAAGGGTGTGTGACCAGCTGCAAACAGCCAACAGCCCCTCACCCAGACTGGCCAGGCACCCCAGTGGGGACCCCCACCCTGATCCAGGACACCCTTCAGGGCAAACCAGCCGGCCCCCAGGCCTCTATCCTATATAGTAAAAGGGTAATATGCCTCCCAGCACCGGGATCAGCGGAGCCGTGAGGTCTCCTGGCATCAGATCAG